CCTTGTGTAGTTTTTACCTTATATTCTGGTAATTAACCTACTGATTAATTAATTTATATACTGATCCTCTGACCGATAACCGATTTACATGCGGACCATTTAATTTGTTGTTGTTTAAATGTTTCTCGTTTTTTATAATTAATTTACTTTCTAATAACAAAAAAATGCGTAGAAGTACAAAACTCAATTTTCGGGGTTTATTTTTATTTGTGAAAGTAGTTTCACTGTATTAAAATTTTGCAAAACATTTGACGGCCAATGATTTTCAGAAACGGAAAACCAACTGTTGTAGTGATTTGATATGATCATAGTTTGAAAGTATCTGATTTATATGTCATTTTAATTAGTACAATAATGTTTAATTAAATGTATAATAAATTTTAGCGCGATATTTATAAATAATAAATCAGGCTACACTCTCAATCCGTGACTTTAGCCACTATCACTTGATTTATCTGTATTAAATAAAATAACAAACAACCTGTCAATTATAGCGTGTTCTAACCTGAAAAAGTTTAAACTAGTAATTTTCCAACTTATTTATTAATTGTTGTTATTTTCGCAATGAATAGTCAGGTGAAAACACTAACTTATGAAATAGCGGCTTCGCCAAGTGTTGTTGGTCTGACTTTGGATGGAATACCATGTATTATTCCAGAAGTTATACCCCCACAAACCTACATTATGAACCTAGAAAACCTTGAACAAGTTTGTTGGCTTTTCATAAACATTTTAGCACTTAGAACTTAAAATGAATCTCTTACTTTTTTAGTCTGAAGTGCCACTTCAACTCATACAAATCAACAAAGAAGATGCCCAAATGCTTGGTTTATGTAACAGCAACAAAAACAACTTTCTAAAGAGCCCTTTAAAACAGCAGAAAAATTTAATGTCTTCTAAATTTAATTCAAATACAAACAGTAGCGTTAGTTTAAAGTTACTAAATAATTCTGTAATATTTACTAGCGAAGCTTTAAATAATTGTTCATTTCCTAAAAAGGAAATTGTGGAGAAACCTTTGGGTTCTTGTGAAAACCCCATCGAGATTATTCAGAATGGTGGAAAGTTGCAGTCTACTCAAAATTTAAGTGAAGAACATCTGCAGCAAATTGCAGAAGCCCTGCAACAGTTTAATCCTACAAAAAAGCAAGAAGAGGAAGAAGAAGAAGAAGATCCTTCACAAGATTATGTTTATGAGTATGAAATAGTTTATCCTGATGAACTGGATATAAAAGTAAGTACTAGTTATAAGGTATTTGTATTGTTATTTAAAAACATCCATCTTTATTAGCCAATAATTGCAACTCATCCCAAGAGGGCAAAGAGAACTAAGAAGAGGCCTATTGAAAACACATTTTCTGAACTTGAGGAACCAATAATTTTAAAAAAAGTCAGAACACGATCAGGAAGAATTACAAGGCCTCCACGGTACATAGAGAAGGTAATTGAAGAATAATTTGTATTCTGAATTGTGCTTTATTTAGTACATGTTTTAACACTTCCATAGGATTGTAAGGCAGTCGAAACAGATCATACTGGAGATACTAAAAATGTTGAAAAGGGTCAAGAAATAGAATCGTGCAAAGAAGACAACAACAACAAACATGTACAAAGAAAGAAAATAGATTGTCAAACAAAAAAAAGACAGATTCCAGCCCAGTATCGTTGTCCTAAATGCAAGAAAGCTTATTTGGGACACAGTCGCATGTTAAAACATTTACAACAGAATCCCAGTCATGGGAAACTTCCAGACTCCTGTAAACTTCTACGAGACAATCAAACATGGAATTTCTTGATAAACCTCGCCCTTAAATGTCCCATTGGAAAAAGGGGCATCAAATTTTGCAATGAATTTATAAATCTGTTGAAAAATGCCAAAGAATTTGCCAAGGTTCTTTTTAAGCAACCAATGGCATGTGATAAAGATTTATTTTACATAGATAAGGAGCTAGGGGCAGTCCTAGGAATAGAATGTGGCGAATACTGTTTAAATGAGGCTGAAATCGTTAAAGATGCCTCAATATTTTCTCTTTTAGACAGTTTTATGGAAGACAAAGAGCCAGAAAACGTATACAACAATACAAATTCTAAAGTTCCTACAAAAGAAGAAGTTAATTTGGATTTGGCGCAGAGTAATTTTGATGAGAACAGCAATAGTCTAGACACATTGTTTTCAAAAGGTATTCAAAATAACGTTTTGAGCACATTGAACGAAAATTTAATTACCGTGAAAGATCTAAATGAAATTACTTCTAATTTGCTGACAGATTTGTTGAAAACAGAAAATCAAAGTATAGATCCTTGTAATATCTTAAATGATGTTTCCTTAAAGAAAGATACAATAATGAAGCGAAATGCCAACTCAATTATACGGAAACGTTTAAAAAAGAAAATTACAAAAAATAGTATTTTGTCTGAACAAAAATTAAATGAAAGCACTGCCAGTAAAGAAGCCATTTGTTCAGATTCTAGTCAAGTAGTAGTGGAAAATAAAAACTCCCTTCTACCTTCATTATATTCATCTAATTCTACTGAAAACAACAAATCCAAGTTTGTGGAAGATGGTACGTTTAGTTTTTGCAAATTTAAAGTGAAAGATACGACTGAAAATCTTTTGGACTCGCCATTTAAATCTTTTAAGGTTCAAAATACATCAGATGATTTGCTGTGCTCATCAATTAACCCTACCGATTATAAAGGCCGTAGAACACCTACTTTCGACATTCAAAATAGACGGAAACTCTCAAAAGAAAATACAAAAAACGAGGAAGTTGAGAATTGCAAACAAAGTACAGTCAGTTTTGTTGAGAGCATTAATTTGAGTGATAATCATCAGTTTGTTACAAAAAATACAGACACAGTTAATAAATCCATCAACAGCAACCCTGAAAGAGATGAATTGGAAATGTTGAGCCCTTGCAAGTCAATTTCAATAAATTTTCTAGACAATAAGCAAGATCCTGGTGACTTTGTTCTTCTTGGTCCTATTATTAAACAAGAAAATGATTTTCACAGAAACATGCCATTGTCCAGCGATTTGTTGGCTGAAAATTCACTTTTAAACACTTCAGAAGATCTAATGACTTTATCAAATGTGCCTAGTTTTTTGGACAATAATACAAGTTCAGACGAAATAATGAATGTTGATCAATTTGTGAACGAACGATTTAAAAACATTACGGAGCCGGAACTTGACTTGGGGAACCCCGCTATCAATTTGGACCTACAAACTATGGATTTATTTCCTTTCGGTTCTAGTTGACGAAAATAAATAGAAATTAACTGTTAGTCACTAGTTTTACTATCATAATTTAGTTCACTTTGTTGGTTTTTTGTAAGGCAGCTATGAAAGTTATTCTGAAAAGAATAAAAGTTGATCAAAATTTACAGAAGTTCTTTTTAAGAAGGTCTATTGATTTGGCTGATACTTTGGGACATCATTTATCTTGAGTAAAATTAAATATAGCAATTTAACCTAGCACTGTCCCTTACATTAATTAACAAAAACTTACATTTTAAAACAGAATAATTATACACTAACAATCAATTATAACGAAAAAGAAATACAAAAGACAACTTAAAATTTATTTATTTAAATAAATCAGCAANTTAATAATCTTTTCTAACAAAACTCTAAGTAATGTCTTTGAATATGAAGTTTTAATTAAATTCATATTATTATTTAAATCTGATTTCAGGGCATTTTTACTCACTTTTAAATACTAGTTTAATTATTTGTTTTTATATTGCATAGTAAACGTCGAATAGATTTTTACAGGCAATTACAATTTTAAAAGCGCCTTTATAATGTAAACAAGAGAATTCTTAGAGTGGCATTTCGAAGTTAATATCCAATTTGGCAGATTTTGCTAATTTAACGATGTTGGACAGTTTAACTGCAAGACGAGCAGCTTCGTCAAGATTGTCAACTGGTAAAATCTTCAAACCTGAATTGGCGATGAGCACTTTAGCATCATCGACATTAGTACCTTGAAGACGACACACGATTGGATGCTTCAATGATAACTCCTTCGTTGCTGCAATAATACCTTCGGCGATAACGTCACACCTCATTATACCACCTATAAAGCAAATCAAAAAATGTAATTCTAGTGAAAAAACTCATTGATTACAGTTAAAATTTTTGTTGCCAGCTTTTAAAAATAGTTTGTAAGAATGATATTAAAATACATAAGAAGGATTTAAATACTGCCCTCGCGTCTGCAAAACCAAATTATACAAACTTCGGCTCATTAAAAACTAAACTTACCAAAAATGTTCACGAGTATGGTAAGAACCTTTGGATCTGACGTGATAATTTTGAAGGCTTCTTTGACAGCATGAGCAGTAGCTCCGCCGCCAACATCAAGAAAATTTGCAGGTGAACCCCCATGTAATGAAATGATGTCCATGGTAGCCATTGCAAGCCCGGCTCCGTTTACCATGCAACCGATACTTCCATCAAGAGCGATGTAGTTCAAGTCAAATTTGGAGGCTTGTACTTCTTTCTCGTCTTCTTGGGACCAGTCTCGAAGAGCGAATAAATCTTTTTGACGAAACGCCGCATTATCATCAAATCGAAACTTTGCGTCAAGAGAAAAGTCTAAAAACAACGTAAGATTAAAAAATATAATTAATACTTGATGGATAACAATTTCAATTACAAACATCTCCTGCATCTTCTGCATATGGATTGATTTCAATTAAAAGTGCATCTTTTTTTACAAACAAGTCGTACATATTTGTTAATAATTTTACTACGTTTTCCTTCTGTTTTTCAAGACCAATTTTGACAGCCACCTTTTCTGCTTGAGCCCTGGTAAGGCCTGCAATGCAATCGATGGGTTCGTAAATGATTGCATCTGGATTTTCTTTGGCTACATCTTCTATACTTACACCTCCTTGGGATGAAGCAATTATTACTGGACCCTAAAATCATCCATAAAAGTAAACTTACTATATTTACAGGGCAAGATTGTGACAATTGCCTTACTGAACATATTTAAATTAGGACTCAATGAAAAATTAAAGGAGCAGGGATCAGACTGGGCAGAAAATGGGGTAGTTCTATAAATAAAGAATAAAAACAGTTACAACTTGTGAAAAATTATTGAATGCTGTTTACTCACATTAAAAGATCTTTCCATCATTACAGCAATGTAAAATTCACGTCTAGGAAATTTTCTTTCTGCTACCATAACTTTATTGCAGATACGCCCTTTTTCCCCTGTCTGCTTTGTAACTAAATACTGACCCAACATTTTACCAGCCACTTCCTCTGCTTCTTCTGGCCTGTAACAAAAAGAAAATGTCTTATTTATTGCCTCATTGTGAGTATGATAAATAAACTCAATCAAACATACTTACGAAAACACAGTCCTAACTCCACCTTTAAATCCATTCTTAAAATGACCTACGCCCCGTCCACCTGCTAAAACTTGTGCTTTAATAACTAAATCTTTAGTTTTCAGATCTTGGGCAATTTTACGAGCTTCTTCTTTTGTAGAAGCTACCCCAAAATTTGGAACCGAAATTCCATTATCTTTTAGGAGAGTGTAACTTATATATTCGTGCACGTTTAAGTTTCGTGTTTGCTGTTGTTGCGGCTGCCATCGTCCTGACGAATTACCTCCTAAAATCTAAAAATTACTTAATACCTAGAAAAAGGTATATAATAAAACGAAATTTTTGAGGTTATACAAATGGTTATATAATTTTTAATTAGTAATATTTATCATTTAAAAGATGGCAGTTGGCTATCGTAAAAGTATTTACTAGACCAAAAATTGATTGCAATAATAAAATTAAAAAATAATAAAATAATCTAAAGAAAACATAATTTAATAATAACATATTTAGTGAGTATTTACCTTCGCACCGTTTTTCAATATTAAATTCTCTGCTAATGTAACTGTTCGCAACATCGTGGCCATTGTTGAATACGTCAGTAGGTCACTGTAGGTCGATACGCACTACAGTTTACACAGTCTACTGTAGGTCAGTTATAGGTTGTTGTTGTATACTATGTTTAACTATAACGATTCTCTATTTTTTTTAAAGTTCTGGCGCCAAGAAGAATATTTGAGTAGCTTGTTATTAAATTTTCATTATCATGTCACGCAAACTTTTTCAAACAGTAGGTACATTACATTACAAGTATGAACACATCAGTGCATCTTTTTTTACAAACAAGTCGTACATATTTGTTAATAATTTTACTACGTTTTCCTTCTGTTTTTCAAGACCAATTTTGACAGCCACCTTTTCTGCNAGTTTCTCCTAAAATATATTTAAATCAGAAATAAAAAGTAACGTTTGAAATGAAATTTAAATAGTCACCAGTATGCATGGGAAGGTGCCTCTTCAATTTATTCTATTACGCACATCATAATTTCTCAGATAAGGTAATATAATGTTAAAAAACACTCATGAAAGGCTATCAATATTATATTATTTAGTTTGAATTAGTTTATCTCAAAGAAAACACCGGTTATTAGTTAAACCAAACTTTATTCTTCATTTCTTCTCTGCTCTCTCTTGTATCTTGTATGTCCATAGTTAGCGTAGACGAGTCCGCAGTGTATGTCATTTTCTTCAACATTTTTTTACCATTTTTTTGAACTACTAAACCTTAAAACCATGTAAATCTATTATGTGCCGAAAACATCAGAATTAATACTATTATTTTCTCATTTCTTTCATTATCATTTTAGTTCAAATAGTTAATTCGTTTTAAATTAAAAATCGAAAAAATTGTTTTAAACAAAATGAGTGGATGTGGAAACAATGATTTTATTGTGAGGAAAGCAAAAAAAGAAGACGCTTCTAAAATTCTGGAACTTATTAAGGTAAAAATGTATTTATTTATTTATTTACTTAATACTGGTACGTTCCTCTTTAGAGTGTTACCACAGTGTTATATTCACTCACTCTAAAGGTCCCCTTTTTCTAAAAGTTAACTAAGTTTTTAATCTAGGCTTAATTCTAGTTTTCTTATCTTATTTTCTTTTGTACACTTTTATACTTTTATTATTGCACCTCGTGTTCATATTTTACTTTTCTTCTCTTGCTTGTAATAAGAGCTTTAGTTTTCATTTAAATTTTTTTGTTTTCTTCTTTGATATGTTCTGGTATATTATTGTATAACTTAGTACCTTTTGTTTTTGTTGTGTTCCTGTCCATTTTCTCAGTCCTCATCCGATTGTAATATAGATGGTTTGCTTGTCTCATATTGTGTTGATGGTTTAAATTTGAATATTCTTTCAAAATATGCATTTCAAGTATATGCAAAATAACATCAATTCTTTACACATATGTACCCATATGTGCAATTGCCAGAACTAAAGTATTAAACTTATTTGTTATGGCAGTTACACAATTAACAAAGTTTTAATCTTATCTTATTTGTATGATAAAAATGGGAATAAGTATATTGTATGTATTGCAATTGTAAAATTAACAAGTTTATCACTCTTAATTTTTCTATCAGATCACAGATAAATAGGCAAGTGTCAGTATAAAATAGTGAATATTCTTAGTCCTAGAAAGGCATAGCAAGTCTCAGCAATCAACATCTTTCTTCTCAGAGATATCACTTTGTGGAGATAGGAGTCTCCTCGTCGGTTTTCCACTTGATTTATGAAATATTATTAACTTGGTTTTAATATTTGTATTTCAATATGTTTAAACAGCAATTTTGATTAATGCTACAAACTTTGGCATCCATGTAAAGATGCACACTTCGAGTTTGGTTATGTCTTCTATTGTATTCCCATGTTTTTGTATATTTCATTGATGCTTGTTGAATGTAATTGTAAGGCTGCTGGTCTAGTGCATGATGATATTTTTTTGTATCATTTTAATATGGTTTGTCGAGTCTAATTTTTAATTAATATGGAGTCCCAGGAATATTGTTTTATTTTGTTTCCTTTATACCGTAGATTGTTGTTGTGCCTATTATTGATTTTCTGGTGTGTTTGTTGAATATTATATAGGTAATTTTATCAATGTTTAGGTGCAATTCATTGCCTTACAGATGCTTGGTGATGGTGTCCATGTCGGTTTTTATGTTTTTAATCAATGTTATTCGGTCTTCGCTAAATATTACCGTTGCATCATCTACAAGCATGACCATCTGCCCTTTTAGTGGGGTTCACCCTAGATCATTAGTGAAGGTTATGAATAAACCGGGTGATAGGGTCGATCTCTGAGGGGCACCTGCCTTAGTTACCTTTTTTGCACTGTTATGTCCATTTATTGTCACATAGATACTGTTTTCTTGTTTGCAAGTAGGACTGGAAGCATTTTTGAGAATGGCTTCGTAATTCTTTCGTTTTCAAGCATTTGCAATAATTTCCCATGTTGGACGACAGTATCAAACGCTTTTCTTAAGTCTAAGAATAGTGTCGCTGTTTTCCTTCCAAGGAAGGAAGTTTAATCTTGATTGTTAAAGTCGTCACTTGTTGAAACCTGATTCACAATGAAATTAAACATTACAATTGGTAAAAGTTTAATTCACTTTCAAGTAGAGAACAATTCTATGTTTAAATAGTTTTTAATTTAGAGTAGAACTATTTCTACGATGTATGTTTCAAAATATAATTAATTAATAGCAATGTTCTTAAAGGAACTTGCGGTGTTTGAGAAATGTCCCGATTCAGTAAAAATTTCGGCAAAGCAGCTTGAAGAAGACGGATTTGGAGAAGCACCAGCCTATGGTTGTTTTGTTGCGGAAAATTTATCGGGAAATATTATTGGCTTTGCCCTATATTTCCCACGGTATTCTACATGGTATGGTAAGACACTTTTTTTGGAAGATCTATATATTAAAGCAGACTATAGAAAAAACGGCATTGGAAAACAACTTGTTAAAGAAATCGCAAAAGTAGCCAAAGAAAAATCTTTGAGACGAATAGATTTTAACGTATTAAAATGGAATCCGGCAAAACAATTTTACAAGAAATTAGGGGCAGTTAACGCTTCAGAAAATGAAGATTTTGAAATTTATCACTTCTACGAAGATGCCATAAAATCATTAGTGCAAATTTAAAACAAAAAGTTTTTTATAACTACACAAAAACATTATTTTGCCGTTGTATTAAATATTCTAAAAATACAATTCATAAATAAACAATAAATAAATTACTTTGATGCAGAATAAACTCCTTATTTTACTTGCGTCTCTGATACAGTTCTGAAAATGTTTTCCAAAGAATTAACATCAATATCCGTAACGATGTGATGTTGCTGAGAAAGATGCCTCAGAAATTTATTCTTTACTTTAAATACCTGCTGGCACACTTGACATCTGGAAAAAATAATACATTTTATTGTGTACAATTTTTTGTATACTAATACCACATCCCTAATCCTAAGAATTGATAAAAATAAAAAATTATATTTAACATTATTTGATAATGCATGTAATCTTAAACAATATTTATGTAATTAGTGTATTTATATTTCATGTATTACATATGCGTTAAAAGTAACTGTAAGACATTATCAACTTAAAAAATAGTTACCGAAGGCTGCCACTTGTAGCAGTCTGGTAATTATTTCGCTGAGAAGAATGTAGCTTTTGGTGAGCCAAAAGGTTATACTTTTCAGCAAAACTCCTTTCACAAATCGAACAAACATGACTTTTTTCGTTGGTGTGGATTTTTAAATGCCTTCTTAAATGTGAAGTTGACAAAAAGCATCTTTTACAGTAAGTGCATTTATACTTTTTCTCTCCTGTATGAGATAGTTTATGAATATGAAATGATGTATGATGTTTGAACCCTTTACCACAAATATCACAAATATGTGGAGTTTCTCCTAAAATATATTTAAATCAGAAATAAAAAGTAACGTTTGAAATGAAATTTAAATAGTCACCAGTATGCATGGGAAGGTGCCTCTTCAGAGCAGCCTTTTGTGTGAAGGATTTATTACAATATGGGCAAATAAAAGGACAGATACCTTTATGCATATCAAGATGAATTTTTAATGCATGACTATGTCTATATGACTGACCACAAATTTCACAAATGAAAGATTTACTTAGGGTTCTTGATCCTTCAGAATACCCCTGCAATGTTTCATCAACTTGTTTACTCTGAATTTCATCAGCTGCATTTGATTCAAAAAACTGATTCGAACACTGTCCTGTTTTCTTAAGTATTGATAAATCCTCTATATTACCTTTGTCAATATTTCTTTTGTTATTTACATTGCAACATTCATTTAGATTATTTCTTAAAAAATCAGTATCAAAATTAGATATACTAATTGCATTACTATCGTATCCAGATGATTTTAAATCAGTGTTTGAACTTGCTTTTTTCACTTTGATATTTATGAAAGAAATATCAGTCTGACAAAACACATTCACGGTAGAAAAGTCCATTTTAAAATAATTTCGAATTTTCCCACGAATCATCTCAAAACACTTACTAGTGTAGTCAAAATCATTTAATGTTTTGATGCAGTCATCACAAACACAGTTATTTTGGCTAGTATCAATTTTACGTTTAATAATCTTTTCTAACAAAACTCTAAGTAATGTCTTTGAATATGAAGTTTTAATTAAATTCATATTATTATTTAAATCTGATTTCAGGGCATTTTTACACAAATAACACTNTTTTTCTTTAAAGGTTGTTTTTTTAGTTAGTTAAATAATGTATTTTATTTATTTTTAGTACAAATGCAGTCTTTTTACGTTTCTAGTATCAAACTATAAAGCTATTAAGATTTAGAATTAAAATAAGAATAAAGGCAGTAGGAAGGAATAGCGTAGAGAAACATCCCACGCACGATATCTCACTCATATTTTTAGGATAAAAAGACTTCTTGAAACTAAAATTCTGGATACCTCAGAGTATTCCAATGAGTATTTTGTTTATTTAAAAATGATGGAAACTGACGTATAATAGGATGTGACATTTCTTCCACCGATTACAATAAAACGTTAAGTTCATACAAGTTCCTATCTGTCAACAAGTTCATAGATAGGTATGTTATAACCATAGATTTAGAGAATGAACTACGCTTTCTCTATGAAGTTAAAAGGTAAATACAAAAAAAATAAATGTATAAGACAGACAAAGCGATTGTTGCGGCCCTTAGAATAAGTGCAGCCAATATTTTCTTTTTTTAGAATTTTGATAGATCTACATTACGGTCTTGCAGGAACGGATGAATGAGGTAAAAAAGAGGAAAAGAGACAGGTATTGACCGTACAATCGTTTCCTCTTTTTCTAGAGAGTGGTCAATTTCATATAGTTATAAGCATAGACATAAATTAATGGACGTGCCTCTTTCATCTTCCTCACTTTTCGATCCAAGAAATTATTACAACGACATACGGCTAAGGCACGTCCATTAATATATGTCTATGGTTATAACGTTATCTATGGTTTATGATTATAACCATAGATAAAAGATATACAAATATATATAACCGTAGATATCAACCAATTAATAAGAGCTTTCAGTTTTCAATTTTCTATTAGACCTTTTATTAAATGTGTCTAAACACACGTAAAACA